CGCCTGACGCCCGATGCCCGACGCCCGACGCCCGACGGCGGCGGCGGCGGCAGCGGCGGCGGCGGCGACCAGGACCCCTCGCGGCCGCGTCGGGGTGGCCGACACCGCCACGGTCCTGGTCATGGGGCTTCACCCCCGAGCGCACACGAAGGTCGTCGCCGTCCACCTCGGGCGGGCGAGGGGGGGCACCTCCTCTCGCTGTGGAAAGGATCACGGCGGTGTTGGTGCTCCAGACCCCCTCTCGACGGTCGGGGTTCGAACCTCGAGGATCAAGGTTCGAGGCTGTTTGGCCTTCGGGGGCTGGGAGGAGGAGAAAGAAAAGAAGTAGGAGGAGGACCACAGAAAACCCTGGATCACTCCAAAGGTACTGCCGCACCCCCTGCCGTCACAAGTCCCCTCCTCACGAATCCCTAGAAGCACCTCTTTCCACTGCGAAAGACGCCCAAACTAGACGAGCGCCTCGTGGGACTGCCATTCAAGCGAGACCCCGTTTTGTAAAGGATCCACCATCCATCCTTCGCACTGTAAGAAGTGCAAATATGTATGATCAGAAAGTCTCCGTGTCCTCCGTCTCCTCCTCGCGCGGCGCCACAGCAAAAGCCCCGTTCCGTTCTGAGAAAGTACCGGCCTCCATAAGGAGAAAACCCACCCCCAACCCCATCCCCAAACCCGCGATCGAGGCGGTCGGGACTGGGGGTGGGAGGGGGGTTCGGGGTCCAAGGATCGAGAAAACGCACCCGCCCCCAGACCTGACACCCCGATGCGCCGGCTCGGGGGTGGGAGTCGGGACTGGGGGTGGGGGGTGGGGGTGGGGTTTCGCCTTCTGATGTGAAGCTGCTGCACATGTTTAACAGGAGCATGCGCGGCACCAACGCGAGAGCCAGTTCTGAGAAAAAGCCAACCTCCATCCGCACGTGTGCTTGACATGTCAAACTTCAAGAGCATAAGCGGTGACGAAGTCTCAAGCGGAACGCCCAAAGTCTAAGTCCTCCTCCTCCTCCTCCTCCTCCAACTCCGCCTCCATCTCCTCCTCCTCCTCCTCCTCCTCCTCCTCCTCCTCCTCCTCCTCCTCCTTCCTCCTCCTCCCTCCTCCCCCTCCCTCCTCCCTCCTCCTCATCCTCCTCCTCCTCATCTCATCCTCCTGGTCCTCCTCCTCTTCCTCCTCCACCTCCTCCTCATCTACATTCCTCATCATCCTCATCATCATCACCACCAGCATCCATCATCTCAGCAGCACCATCATCATCCGCAGCATCCATCATCATCAAATTCATCATCATCATCATCATCATCATCATCATCATCATCATCAACAGCATCAGCATCATCATCATCATCATCATCATCTCATCATCATCATCATCATCATCATCATCATCATCATCATCATCACCATCACCATCATCATCATCATCATCATCATCATCACATCATCAGCAGCATCAGCATCAGCATCAGCAGCATCATCATCAACATCAGCATCATCATCATCAGCATATCATCATATGGTCATCATCATCACCACTGCACACCACCATCAGCATCTTCATGATCATCAACATCATTATCAGCATAATCAGCATCAGCATCTCATCATCAGCATCATCAGCATCATCATCAGCAGCAGCATCAGCATCAGCAGCAGCATCATCAGCATCATCAACAGCATAGCATCATCATCAGCAGCATCAGCATCAGCATAAGCATCAGCATCATCATCATCACCACCACCACCATCATCATCATCATCATCATCATCATCATCATCATCATCATCATCATCATCATCATCATCATCATCATCATCATCGTCCCCTTCCCCCAGAATCTCCAGAATCCCCTGCAGACCAAAACTCTCAGCACCGAGGCGCCGACGCCCATGCCAGGCCTCCTGAGAGAAACGGGGCAGCCAGCACTCGGTCGCCACTGCGATCTCCCGCCCACCCTCCCCGTAGACGAACGGGGGATCTGTACCAAAAATGGGGTGCACCCAGGGATTGGACGCGGCCATTGCGCCTCGGTGGCCTCTGCAATCTCCAATCCACCCTCCCCGTACACGAACGGGGGATCTGTACCAAAGATGGTATGTACCCAGGGGTTGGACGCGGCCATCGCGCCTCGGTTGCCTCTGCGATCTCCCATCCACCCTCCCCGTACACGAACGGGGGCTCTGTACCAAAAATGGGGTGCACCCAGGGATTGGACGCGGCCATCGCGCCTCGGTGACCTCTGCGATCTCCCATCCGTCCTCCCCGTACACGAACTCGATGTCCAGAGGGTTGATGACGTCCCACCCGAAAGCCTGCGCCGCCTTGATCGGCGGGCACTGCTCTGGCCACCCCGAGCCCGTGGGGCGCGAGGAGTAGATCTCCTTCGCCGGCTTGGGGTGCGGGAAGGCGGAGTGGTACCTGGACGCCGCCCAAGTGAGCGGTACGGTAGAGGGAAACAATTCGTGAATACCCCCCCTGCCCCCCAAACTCAAAGTTGGCACGCGCGGGGGAGACTGCGGTCGAGGTGCAACTCATCAGACCCACCGCCAACTTTGAACATTGGGGGGAGGGGGAGGCGTTCACAGATGAATGTGGCATGAATGTTCGCTAGTTTTTCCGAGGCCTGTATCAAAAGAAGTCTTACGCACAAGGACACAGCGAAACCCTACGGCCCTGGCGTCGCGCAGATGGTTCGAGCCAGGCGTTGTCGCGTAATTGCGGGCCCCGGGACCCTCACTGACTGGTCTGGCTCCAAAAATGCGGCAGAAAGGTAGGCTCCGGGGATCTGGTCGTGATTTTTCGCGATGTTGCAATTCTGTCCGCGTCGTCGGATCTCAGGAAATTGATGCGGTGGCGTAGGCAGGCCGCCTTCGCTGCACGCCACGTGGAAAAGAAGGACTCTGGCAGCTCAAGTGCGCATGCCCGCGCAGCCGAACGGCCAGGGCAGACGGGGGATGATCGCACCGCATCGCCGATGAGTCGGCGTTGCATCGACGACGTCGGGATAGAGAAGATCGATCCGGATCGCGCCGCATCGCCGATCCAGCTGGGATACATCGGCGATGCATCGCCGACGTCGGGATGGAAACAACTCGGGCTGCAAATGGCGCAGCATCCTCAATGCATCAGCGCGGCGGCGCGATCCTCACCTACCCATCTGCTCCAGACCATCCGGTGTGGGCGGCCTGCCTCTGAGAAGGTCTCTGAAGAGGCTTACAGGAGCCCTCCAGAGATCTCAGGAGGCCCTCGGGTTAGTCCCACTCTTAATCATCACGTGGGTGTGCAAGGGGCGCTTAACCCGTGTAGATTTCGGTTGGCCCCCTCCTCCCCCCCCCAAAAAAAAGCGGGCTGCTCTGACCCCACCCGCCATGAGACAAAGGAGTCCTGAGGCCTGGGGCTTCCCCCCAGCACCAGCTCCTCGTTCCGAGTCGTTCGCTGACGATCCCGAGGCACGAGCTTGGGAAGGAAGGGCCCCGGGAAGCCGAAAACGGCAACACAAAAACGCAGGGCACATTTCACTCGGGATCCCCCTTCCCAGACACCCGTCGATATGTTTGTTTGTCCCGACAATCCTGTTGTCAGGTCCTCGTTTTGAAGAGACGGTCCCCGCATCTCCTCTCCTCCCCTCCTCCCCCTGATTGCATCTGCGTGGCCCCAAGCTGTCGCCACTTTCGAGGGCTGCTGGGGGAGCCCGCACAGTGGGCCCCTACGCGGACCCCAAGAAGACCTCGCCATGCGCAGGTGTTGAGCATTTTGGCCTGGACAAACGCAGCACTTCACTGTCTGGTTGCGTCGTCGCCGATGTAACCTTATCTTACCCACGCTCCATGATTTCGCTGCCTCTGCCGAGGTGATTCGCCTTCCACCCCGATGTCTTCCGTTTGCTTCTCCTTCCCACTACAATGCCTCCTGGCCTTTTGTACCCCTGTTCTGCGAGTCGGCCACGCACATTTCACACGATATGATATCCACCGTGCACCGTCTCTTGCAGTGCTGCCGTCACACTATTGTCGGCACACCTGATGTCATCCCGTGGTGCCGATGGGTCGGGCACGTCGCAGGGTAATTCGTCACCGATCCATGCTTGATGGCCCTGGGAGCCGAAAGCTGCCCCCGCAGGCCGATATCGAAGAAACAGCGCCAATTCAAATGACCCCAACAAAACACCCTAAGAGCAGCCAAGGACCTGTGGGGCATGTAGGACCTGTGGGACCTCTGGGGCCTGCGGGACCCGTGGGACCCGTGGGGCCTGTGGGACCTGTGGGACCTGTGCAGCCTGTGGGACCTGTGGGGCTTGCCTGACCAGTCGGACTTGAGTAGCCCGTTGGGCCTGTGGGACCTTTGGGACCTGTGGGACTTGTGCGACCCGTGGGGCGCATGCGATATCTTGGACCTTTGGAACATGTGGGACCGGTGTGGCCCGTGAGACCTGTCCCGCCTCCCTGCCCTCCCGCCCCTCCCGCCCCTCCCGACCCCTCCCCCTCCCGCCCTCCCCCCCCCGCCCTCCCTCCCTCCCTACCCTCCTCCCCCTCCCCCTCCCCTTCCCCCTTCCTTTCCCCTCCCCCTCCTCCTCCTCTCTCTCTTCCTCCTCTCCCCTCCTCCTCCCTCCTCCTCCTCCCTCCTCATCTCCTCGTCTCTCCTATCCTCCTCCCTCCTCACTCCTCCTCCTCCTCCTCCTCTCGTCCTCGTCCTCCTCCTCCTCCTCCCCTCCTCCTGCCTCTCCTCCTCCTCCTCCTTCCTCCTCCTCCTCCTCCTCCTCCTCCATCGTCCCCCTCTCGGGGCACGACGGCTTCCCAGCCTTCGTTCCACTGCGTGCTCTCCCACATGCCTGATCCGGGCAACTCGCCTGGGCATCGTTTCCAGAAGGGCTGGCGGGGTTACTTTTTCGTTCGCGAGCGACACGGAGCAACCGCGCGCCGTCAAGAAGCGAAGCAACAGCGCCACGATCCAAATTAGGCACTAAGCGCGCAGGAGCGAACTACGCTGCGACTCAGTAGGCGAACTAGACGCTGAGGATCAGGTCCACGTGGAACGCCAATGCGAGACCTGGTGGGGTACGCGAAGCGTCGAGAAAGGTGAAAACCCACGACGTGATTTGCTCATGACTCGAGATCGATGCCGCTGCTTGCCAGACATCTCCCTGGATCTCCGCGGCGACCCACTTGCGAAGGGGCCCAGGGACATACAGACAAATTTGCACAAATCCCAGAATTCACCATACCTGTAGTTTCTGGATTCTCGTCTTCCCCTCCGCTACTCATATCTCCCCATATTTTTGTCCTAGGACTCGACGCTTATGTGTGTGTGTGTGTGTCTGTGTCTACTTTTCCCTCCTGACTTTGCCCGGCCCACAGCTCGGGGATCTACTCACCGGGGTCAATCGAAACCCTGGTCAGTCAGGCTTCGCAGGATCCTGCAGCATCCAGCAGGATCCAACAGGATACTGCACGCAAACCCGGGCCAGCGCACCCCTGGCCCTGCAGGATCCTGCAAGACCCCGCGCTCTGGCTGACCCTCGCATGCACTGACCCCCGTCCCCAGAAATCCGGCCGCTCCAATTTTTTCGATGCGTGGACCACAGGTCTGGACCACTTCCCTGGGGCCGGTTTTTCGTCATGAGTCGTTCTTGGACGCTCCCGAGGCCCGGCGAGGGCCCCCGATGGCCGAACACGGCCACAAAATCCATCCGCTCCTACTTGTTGCGGGAGCGTCGGCTCGCTGGGTCCCCCTTTGAGCCCCGACGGCGCCGAAAGTATCTCAGCCCGGCAGCCGGGCCCACCCGGCGCCGCCCCGCCGCCGCCACCGCGGCCGCGGCCGCCGCCGCGGCGCCCTCCGCCGCGGCCCGCGCGGTGGGC